TGTTTGCTTCTGACCACCCCCTCCCACAATCTGCCCTCCCTTCTATCATCCTCTTGCTCTCTTGTCCCTTCCCCCCCCATTTTCTGTAGGGTAGGATAGATTTCCATACCCTTAAGCCAAATCCTATGAGAATAAGATTCACTTATTCTCTCTCACCTTCCCCGTTTCCCCTCCAGTGTAAAAGCCTTTTCTTGTCTGTTTTATGTGAGATAATTTACCCCATTCTACCTCTCCCTTTCTCTTTCTCCCAGTATAATCCTCTCTCACCCCTTAATTTCAGATATCACCCCTTCATCTTCAACTCACCTTGTGCCCTCTATCTATCTATCTATCTATCTATCTATCTATCTATCTATCTATCTATCTATCTCTCTATCTCTCTATCTATCTACATACATATAATTTTTTCCTTCCAACTACTCTAATACTGACAAAGGACTCATGAGTTACAAATATCTTTCCATGCAGAATGTAAACAGTTCAACCTTAATAAGTCTCTTATGATTTCTCTTTCCTGTTTACCTCTTCATGTTTCTATTGAGTCTTGTATCTGAAAGTCAAATTTTCTGTTCAGCTCTGGTCTTTTCATCAAGAATGCTTGGAAGCCCTCTATTTCACTGAGTGTCCATTTTTTCCCCTGAAGGATTATGCTCAGTTTTGCTGGGTAGGTAATTCTTGATTGTAATCCTGTCTCCTTTGCTTTCCAGAATATTATATTCCAAGCCCTGAGGTCCCTTAATGTAGAAGCTGCTAAATCTTGTGTTATCCTGATTGTGTTTCCACAATACTTGAATTGTTTTGTTCTGGCTGCTTGTACTATTTTCTCCTTGACCTGGGAATTCTGGAATTTGGTTATAATATTCCTAGGAGTTTTCCTTTGGAGATCTCTTTCAGGAGGTGATTGGTGGATTCTTTCAATTTCTATTTTGCCCTCTGGTTCTAAAATATCAGGGCAGTTTTCCTTGATAATTTCTTGAAAGATGATGTCTAGGCTCTTTTTTTTGATCATAGCTTTCAGACAGTCCAATAATTTTTAAATTATCTCTCCTGGATTTATTTTCCAGGTCAGTTGTTTTTCCAATGAGATATTTCACATTGTTTTCTTTTTTTTCATTCTTTTTAATTTGTTTTACAGTGTCTTGGTTTCTCATTGTCACTAGCTTCCAATTGCTCCATTCTAATTTTTAAGGAAGTATTTTCTTCAGTAAGCTTTTGGATTTTCTTTTCCATTTGGCCAATTTTGCTTTGTAGAGCATTCTTCTCCTCATTGACTTTTTGGACTTCTTTTGCCATTTGGGTTAAGCTATTTTTTAAGGTGTTATTTTCTTCAGTTTTTTTTGGGGTCTCCTTTAGCAAGCAACAGCTTGCTAAAACAGACTTGTTTTTCATGATTTTCTTGCAAAACTCTCAGTTTTCCCTCTACTTCTCTTACTTGCTTCTCAAAATCCTTTTTGAGCTCTTCCATGGCCTGGGACCAATTCATATTTTTCTTGGAGGCTTTGGATGTAGGAACATTGACTTTGTTTTCTTCTTCTGGTTGTATGTTTTGATCTTCTTTGTTACCAAAGAAAGATTCTATGGTCTGATTCTTTTTGCACTGCTTGTTCATGATCCTAGCCAATTACTTGAGTTATAAACCCTTTGTTAAGGTAGGAGTCTGCTTCCAATGTGAAGAGTGTACTGTCCCAAGCTTCAGGGGTTTTGTGCAACTATTTTCAGAGATACTTCTAGGGACCTGAAAATTTTCAGTTCTTCTAAGGTGGTATGATCAAGGGTGAGGTGTTTACTCCTTTCCTGGCCTGTGCTCTGGTCTATGACCACAAGCACTCTTTTCTGTCTTGGAACTGTGAGGAGGATTTCCTCTCTACAGCCACTACAAGGTCCACCACACCAGCACTCCTCCTCGCCCCAGGATTGCCACCCAGAACTGTGACCCAGAATCAAGCACGGGCAAAGCAAGAGAATCCTGCACCAGCAGAGAGATCCTTGAAATCCCCCTCTGATCAACCACCTGATTGCCCCTCAGTCTGTGGGCTGGAAACTCCAGAAGCAACCACCACACCAGGGCCGTACTCAGGGACAGGGGCTGGTGCTTCTCTCTCACCACTGCAGAAACAGACTTTTCCTACTGACCTTCTAAGTTGTCTTTAGTGTTCAAGGGTTGAAAAGTCTGGAATCCTCCACAGCTGCCTGTGATTCAGTCCTCTGAGGCCTGCTCCAGGTTTGCTGTGGCCTGCATGCCCACGCCAAACTTCATTCCTCTCCCTGCCTGGCCACGATATACTTTTCTGATCAACCATTCAGGTTGTCTTGGGCTGAAAATTTGTTTCACTCTGCCTTTTTGTGGGTTCTGCTGCTTTAGAATTTGTTTAGAGCCATTTTTTATAGGTATTTGGAGGGGTTTGGGGGAGAACTCAAGCAAGTCACTGCTTTTACTCCGCCATCTTGGCTTTGCCCTGGTACTATGCATTCTTCACCTGGAGTGCTGCCATACTTTTTAGCTGGAGTGACATGAGTATCTTTCAGAAAGAGCAGTGACCCTTAGCCTAGGATTGGCAGAAGCCTCTCCTTATTAACTCCTTCTGAGCCAATATTCAGACCTCCAGGAAAGAGGTAGGAGAGGTTTAACCTCCTCTGTTTATTATTTCTTCGTGGTTCAGGGGTTACCTCCCTCTGTTTTGATCTCTGTCTTTATTTATGAGGATCGGCCATATTCCCACTGAGTCTTAAGTAGATGAGCAGCTGGGGGTAAAGGTGTTGAAGAGATCTGTATCCTGGGAAAGTTACTGCCTCACTGGCCTTTTCGTAGTCAAATGAACTATTTAAGACCTTTTGTGAGAAGTAGACTGTTTCCTTTGCCTCTAGAAAAGCTTCCCTATACATTTCAATGTTTTGAGTCCCTTAACTTCAAAAGGGGAACAATATCACCATTTAAGTAATTGAAAATTACTAGACAAAACTTTGTCAGTCTGGTTCCACTTACTCTCTTTATTCTGGGCAAAGAACTTAGAATCCAAAAATCTGAATTCAAGTTCCAGCTCTTCCATTTACCAGCGATGTGGATTTAGGCAAATGGCTTACTTTTTCGAAGTCTTAGTTTCCTTAGAAGACTCATCTTCCTGAGTTCAAATCTGGCCTCAGAGTGTCAAATCTGACACTTACTAGCTGTGTGGGCAAGTCACTTAACTTTGCCTCAGTTTCCTCATCTGTAAAATGAGCTTGAGAAGGAAATGGCAAATCACCCCAGTATCTTTGCCAAGAAGACTCCAAATGGGGTTATGAAGAGTAGGGCAGGACTGAAAAAATGACTCAACAACAACAATAAACAAAAAAGGTGCTATTGTGAAAAGGATACTGAACTTGGAGTCAGGAAAAACCTGGGTTCAAATCTCACTTCTGAAATTCACTAGCTCTGTGGCCAGGGGAAAGTCACTAAACATCTCTGAGTCTCAATTTCCTTATCAGTCAAAAGGGATTAATAGTATCACCTATTTCACTGGGTTGTCATAAGGCTCAAATGAGATAAATATGTAAAAGAAAAGGAGAGGGATAGGGATTGGACCCACCATTTCATTGTGTTAGGGAACTACTGGAGAAAGAAATTGTGTCCTAAAGCAGAGTGTGCAACTTTTCTGCAATTTATAGTTTTAAGAGAGTTGCCAGGGCCATTGGCAGGTTAAATGATCTGCCTAAACCTCTGTAAAAGAGACTGTAGTTTCCTCATAGGTACAATGGGGATAGCTAGCATTAATATAGCACTTTAAAACTGGCAGAGCTCTTTACAAATATTATCCTGTTTTATCCTGACAACAACCCTGGGAGGTAGGGGTCACCTCAGGAAGTTGAGGGCTTCTTGACCCCAGGCCTAATGCTTTCTTCACTGCTCTACTTAGCTGCCATTGTCAACCCACCCCAACCTACATTTTAGGGTTGTTGTAAGGATCAGTCAGATAATCTAACCAATCTATAAACTACTCTCTATAGTTATTTAAAAATAATAAAAAGTATTATTTGAAGAGATACTCTATAATTCATAGTTCTCCCTGAGAGGCAGCTTGTTGTAGCAGATAGAGGGTTGGATTTAGATTCAGAAAGATCTGGGTTTAAGTCCTTCTTCAGACACATTCTCGCTGCGTGACCATTTGCAAGTCGTTTAACGTTTCAGTGTCCCAGGCAAACCTCTAAGATTATAAATTATTGATCTGCATCTTGTGGAGAAAGGTCTGGGGATTCCCTACACTTATTGAGAGGAAAACATTCTTTTTATGAATCATGGCTGGCTTTTCTTTTAACTTCTTCAGCTAAGTGAGTTTTTTCTACAGAGATATACTAATAACCTTTCCTGTTAGAGAAGGTTACCAATCACATTTTCCACAGTTGTCTTAGATTAAAATATATACTGGTGTGATGACCCACAGAGAAAACCATAGTTGAAATATCACTCAGCAACAGGTGCAAATACTGGTATATTATACTGTCTGGCCTCTAGTCAGTTCTGAAAAAGCTAAAGATGACTTCATTCAGGACTGGGCGAGAATTTTCTAATTCAAATAGCTCAATCCTGGGCTGGTGCTCTAATGGTCAGTTCCATTCCTGGTGTCAGTGCTGGTACATGACTCCCAAATGCCTGTTTCAGGGCTAATCTTAAGCCTTTTCTTAGTTCGTGAGTCTTGGAAGCAGACCCTGCAGTCCCTATTTGTTAAAACCTTCTACAGCAGGAATCAGTGAAAGGTTAAAAGCTCCAAATGAAGCACTGCAGAAGTCAGTGGGAAACAAAGTATTTTTGAGGTCTCCGTGATTTTAAGAGCAATTGATAGCAAAGAACAGAACTGTCCTGTGTAAGTCAGTACAACCCTCTAGCGCCCCAAAACACAAATAGCCACCCATCTGTCCAGGTTACTCCTTGGAAATTCTTGGTTAATGACATCACTCTGATTGCCAACACCCTTGTGGCCCTCCTCCCTGGGACTGACTACTTAGTTGCTGCTCAGAGACTGGGAGTCCAGACCGCACTGGAAGACAGTGAGAGCAGAGCAAAGGCTCAGGACCCAAGACCCAGCCCCTCACTTATCTTCTCCTGGTAATGAAGAATTGTCATTTAATGTTTCTGTTGAATGTCTCTATGCATGTGTGTGAGTGTGTAAAAGATTATTGATTTGGACAAATATGCTTAGAGGGAATAAACATACACATCTAATATTCCTTATCACATAAGGTGAATAGCAATTTTGGTTTTTTCCACATGGTATGAGGTTATTTTTCCCTCTTCTCTTTTTTAGTCCCTTTCTCCTTTGGAGTTTTGCCTCAAGATTATAGATGATAATCTCCTGAAGATTTCCTTGCAAAAGCATTTAGTGTCTGCATTGCTTTACTAATCAAGGTTTTCTGGATTTCCCTTTCATCTATATTTTATGAGAAGCAGTGTGGTTCAGTGGAAAGAGCATTTGAATCCCAGATCTGCCACTTGTGTCCTTGGGCAATCATTCTACTTCTCTGGGTCTTGTTTCCTCCTCTTCAGATGACAGCATTAGGCTAGACCTCTGAGGTTCCTTCCAGCTCTAAATCTATGAGTCTATTAATCAAGAGGCAGGGAGGCGTAGTGAAAAGTGTGCAGAATTTGAGGGTGGAAGATGTGGGTTTGATTGCTGGTTCTGCAGATGTGTCACTTTTGCCTCCTTTTCTTCCCCTCTAAAATGAGGGGGTTGGACTAGATGACCTCTAAAGGCCCTTCCAATCCAAAATCTATGAGCCCATGATAGGACACCCAAGTGAAACTGGATGGTTTGGCAACAGGCACGAAGACCGTGAACGAGACTGAGTGGGGTTTGAAAGGTGGTGAAAATTGGCCTTAAGTCAATCAATCAAGAAGCATTTATTAAGCATCTACTATATGTCAGATGAGAGACAAAATGGTCCATTGGATAGAAAGCTACTGGCCCCAGAGACAGGAAGCCTGGGGCTCTAGTCCTGTCTCTGACACATACTGGCTATCTGACCTTGAATGGTAATCTAAGCAACTCTCTAAGACTATAAATTTCAGAGAAAGTGCCATCTTTCATTGGCAGTGGGAGTTTACTCATCTTGGAATTCCTTATACCAATTATGGGCAGCTATGTGGTATAGTGGATAGAGTGCTGGGCCTGGAGTCAGGAAGACTTATCTTCCTGAGTTCAAATCTGGCCTTAGACACTTACTAGCTACATGATCCTGGGCAAGTCACTTAACCCTGTTTAACTCAGTTTTCTCTTCTGTAAAATGAACTGGAGAAGGAAATGGCAAACCACTTCAGTATCTTTGCCAAGAAAATTCTAAATGAGGTCAAGAAGAATTGGATATGACAGAAACGACTGAACAAAAACAGCAATGCCAATGATACCACATATTTAGTCACCAACTCTATGTGACAGGAATGGTGCTAAACCCTTGGAGGTAATCTACTAAGAACTAAAAGTGTACTGTTCTGGGTCCTTACAAACTTTGCTTCATGTCCCCTAAGGGATGTAAAAAGGGATATGTAAAAATGACCTGAAGAGTTCTTAAAAACTGTCACAGGCTGATAACCTTTAATTTTTTATTTGTTTCCAAGTAAAGTGCCCTTGTCCTACATTTTCTTGGATTTAATGATGAAAAGACTTTAAAAACTGTTTTCAAGTGTGAGAATGCAAGATGCTTTATGATGCATAGTAACAAGTCTATTCAAGGTCACCCTCAAAGAGCAAGTAATTCTGCAAGATGAACATCAAGAAAGAGGCAATATGTCAGCCGCCTATCAGAAGAGAATGCTCTGTTGGGAATTTACAGCTATTTTGTTCTACTAAACCTGTTAATGCCAGTAGTCAGTCATCATAGCATTTCAGAGCTAGAAAGGCTCTCATGGTTTATCAGACCCCAAACCATATTTTTAGATTCACTATTGTTGTACACAGTTCTGTTCAAGAAGTGAATTTGGTTCAAGCCCAGTGCTTAGACTCAGGATCTAGAGCTGAAAGGAACTTTAGAAATCATTTATCTAATCCCATTTATTTTACAGTGGAGGAAACAGAGGCCCAGAAAAGCAAAATGATTTGCCCAAGGTTGTCTAGGCCCTCTGACATTAAATCCAGTGCTCTTCCCACCTTACACTGTCTCTCTTACTAAGTGAATGATCTTTGGACAAGTTATTAAATCTCTCTGAGCCTCCGTTTCCTCAACTGGAAAGCTGGGGCGATACTTACCCAGCCTGCATTATAGGATTATCATGAGTATTAAATGAGATAAAGTACGTAAAAATTCTCTGAAAAGTATAAATTGCTCCACACATGTAAGGTAGTAGAATTATTTCCTTCAACCCCCTGAAGTTCTGCTCACCCACTGCTATGTATGGTTCTATTTTTAAAATGCCAGAATAATAATGGCAGCAGATATTCAGTAGAACTTTACAAAAATGTTCTTATTTGAGCCACACAACCATCCTGGTAGGTAGGAATGGCAGGTCTTATTATTTTTCATTTACAGATTAAAAAATGAAGGCTTAGAGAGTTAAAGTGATGTGCCTTACATCATGTAGTTTGTAAAATGGAATGATGGGATTTCAACATAGGTCTTATGACCTCAAATACAATTTTCTTTCCCCTCCATTCTTCCATCAGTTAGTTGAGCAGGAAAAAAAACTCTAATGAAGATGTTAATTTAACTATTTTAAAAATAAATTTTTATTGATACCTTTTATTTTTACATTGCTTTGCAAGTTCCCCCTGTATATTTTTATTTAACTGATTAAAAAAGAAACTGAACTGACTAGGTGGTTTGTTTTTTTTTAGTGTCTATAAAGAGAGCCATCATTGTTCTAGACTCTGAGGACCTGTATTCAAATCCTGTCTCTAACATTACCTGATTATAGCTGTTCCATTTTATTTGGTTTGTGTAGACAGACCATATAGTCACAGTGTCATCTATAATCGTATGTGGTTAGTAAGTGACTGAATCTGATCAAATTCATAAAATGTGTTAGTATGATATCCTTTAATGTTTCTTGAGCACCGCAAAATAGTCAGGCACTGTGCAACATGTGACATCAAGATATGGTCCCTATTTTTTTGAGAAGTTTATAATCTTAATACAGCATGGCTAAAATTAGGTGGCACAAGCTCTAATTAAAATAGCAGTACATCTAAATTTACCACTTACTCCCTAGGACTGACTATTATGTGAGAGGTGTTTTTTAGGATTATATGGATGTGATATTTGCAAAATTATGGACACCGGAGAAGGTGGGAAGCTTCTCTGTACTCCTGCCTTGGGAACTGCATCCATAAACTTCTAAGAAAGGAATAGCATTTACTCCAAGCAATATAAGGAGCTTTACAGTCTCAGTGTGTGTTTCTTTCTTCGCTCACTGACAGGAAGCCAAGGACAGGCAGTTGCCCAGGAAGGCTCCTCCAAGTTTCCTGTTAACCTATCTTGAGCATGGAGCGATCCGGGAGGGAACTGTGTCTCAACTTTACCGTGGTCCTCATAACTGTGATCCTTATGTGGCTTCTGGTGAGATCATATCAATACTAAGAAGATGAAGCTGGAGATCCTGAGCTTGACCAGCACAGAAGAACGCTCAAGAACACGGGAGCTCTCCTGTAGTGCAATATGCCTTGGGATGCCCTTGCCTGCAATTACTTATACCTGGATATAGCTAGGATAGGATGAGGGTTTTCCCTTTGCAGAATCATCTTTGTCCTGTGCTAATGCTATGTTTTTGGGCTCTAGTTCTGTGATCCCATGCTTCTGTGATCAATTCTGTGGCAATGTGATTTTATGTTTTCCCAAAATTCCTTTGTCAAAAGTTTGGCCAAAGTTGTTTTCAAGTGGGCATTGGACATGTTTCCTGACACTGCAGATGTTAATAAAACCACCTGTTTGAAATGGGGATCATTGTGAAACAGGATTGAACCATGTGCTGTCTCCATCCCTCCATAGCTCCCTATTTGTCAGCCCTTCTGCCAGCCTCTCTCCTCAATGTTGTTTCTAAATTGAATTAAAAATCAACTCTCTGGTAGAAAGAAATGTGATGTAATTAGTCACTATGGCTGTCATTTAAATAAAAAAAAATTTTAAACCTCAAAACATTATTTGGAATTCTCTTTACCTTCTACTAACATTATCTCTTCTGACTACAAACTAGGATTAGTTAGTGGAGAAAGCTTTACACTGGGAAGAGAACTGAGATCTAGTCCTGAGTGGCAGGACAAGTCACTTCTGTTAAATAAAAAAGCAAAACAAAACAAAAAAAAAAACAAACCAAACTTGTCTCAAGTGTCTACTATGTTCAAAAATCTTCAGTGACTCCCTATTCAATCAATCAACCAATAAGCATTTGTTAAGCACCTATGTGTGCCAAGCACTTATTTATTCAACACTTATTCAGTTACCCACTATTGATTAAGCACCTACTTTGTGACTTCATTGTACTATGTGCTTGTGATTAAAAGAGAGAAAGAGAAAGAGAGAGAGAGAGAGAGAGAGAGAGAGAGATAATCGCTTCCCTCAAGGAGCTTATATTCAATAAGCAGATACAATCAATCAATCAATCAATAAACATTTAATAAATACTTACTATGTATTAGGCATGTCCGCTAGTACAATGGATAGAGTACTAGGCCTGTAGTCAGGAAGACTCATCTTGCTGAGTTCAAATCTGGCCTCAGATACTTACTAGCTGTGTGACTCTGGGCAAATCACTTAACCTTGTTTGCCTCAATTTCTTCATCGGTAAAATGAGCTGGAGAAGGAAATGACAAACCACTCTAGTATCCTTGCCAAGAAAACCCCAAATGGGGTCATAAAGAATCAGACATGACTGAAACAACTGAACAACAACAATGCATTAGGCAAATTGCTAAGTGCTAAAAAGGCAAAAACAGTCCCTGCCCACAAAGAGCTTACATTCTAAGGTGAAAATATATGAATAAGTAGGTACATACAAAATACACACAGTAGATGGAAGGTCACCTTAGAGGTAGATAATAACCACAGTAGAGGAAGGTTTCCTGTATAAGGTGGGGTTTTGAAAGGAAGTCAGGGATTCCAAGATGTGGAGAGGAAGAAGCAGAGCACTCCAGGTATATGGGACAGCCAGTGTAAAAGCCCCCAATTGAGAGAGGGAGTGTGAGGCCTGGAAAGACCCATAGGTCATCTGGCCCAGTCCCTTCATTTTATAGAACTGAGGCCCAGAGACGCTGCATAAGGTGTCATAGGCAGAGCTAGGGTTCAAACCCATGTCTTCTGATTTCAACTCCAGCATTTTTTCCACTATACCACACTGCTGCTCATAAACACAGAGAATATATATTAAGTGATTCCAGTGCCTTCCCTTGGTTAATTATTCCTATTTATCTTGTATATAGCTTGTTTGTACATTTTTGTTTTGTCAACTGGACTGGACCAGCCTCTAACCTGCGGATGACCAGAGCCTAACATAGCAGACCAGAGACAAGAGAGTCAGGAATCAAGCAGAAGTTTAATTTCAAAGTGAGGAAAATAGCCTACAAGCAAAGTCTTCCTTCCTAAGAAAGGGGGCTTACCTGCTTATGAAAGGGATAGGGTTTTTAAGTGTGAAAACCACAAACCCTTTGATCACAATTCTGGCATTCTTGGGTCTTGAGTAAACAGTCTCCAAGTCCACAGCTGGACCACAACAAACAGCCTTCAAGGTATTAGGGTCCTCGAGCCTTGTGGTTGTTCAGTGGGGCACAGACCCAGGGTTAGCTGGGAGCAGCAGTGGAGCCCTGGGTTTGGTTCACTTGACAGTTACAAGCACAGGGGATTGTTGTTATGCCAAGCTCAGGGCACAACCTGCTTACTCGGTCTTAGTTCTGGAAAACAGGATATGTCATGATAGTATCTTGACAGTTTGATTTTTGACTCCCCCATCACATTGTGAGCTCCTTGAGGGAAGGGACTGTCTATTGCTTCTTTTTGTATCCACAGCACTTAGCACAGTGTCTGACACATAGGAGCTGCATAATAAGTGCTTATAGACTGACTGACGGAAATAATTTCATGAGGTAGAGAGTACTAAAAACTGGGGGAATGAGGAAAGGATTTATATATGAAATAAGACTGTAAAAGTTGGTGAGAGCTAGACCGTGGAGGACATTAAATGCCAGGATTTTTATTTTATCCTATTGGCAATAGAATATAAATAGAATGTAAGTTCCTGCTAGACATGAGTTATTGCCCTTTTGTCTGTATGCTGGGTGACAAAGGAGGGAGAGGGGATATTAAGCTTCTAGTATGAGCCAGGAACTATATTAAGTGCTTTATAAATATTATCTCTTTGATCCTTACAAAAACTGTGAAGTAGGTGTTATTATTATCTCCATTTAACAGTTGAGGAAACCAAGGCAAGCAGAGGTGTAGTGATTTGCCCAAAGCTCCTGAGTATCTGAGGCTGAATTTGAACTCAGGTATTTGTGACCTTAGGTCCAGAGTTCTATCCATTAGCTGCCTACTAAGTCACTTTCACAGTGACTTACACATAGTAGGTACTTAATTGATGCTTTTTGATTGAGTGTTGGATGAATATGGGGCCACTGAAAAGTTTTGAGCAGGAAAAAGACACTATCAGTTCTGGGTTTTAAGAAAATGACAATCTCTCTAGGTATCATTTTCTTTAACTGGAAAATGAGAAGGTTGAACAGGAAGATGATCTCTAAGCTTCCTTCCTAGCTCTAAATATTATCATTCTATGATCCACTGTGCAACATAACATTTCACGTAAGTCACATTTTGTCAGCTGCCCAGGATTTGAGCTGAAGTCAACCTGGAGTGTCAAGACTACATTTCTATTAATTTATGTATATGAATTAAAAAAATACTTTATGCCTATGGTTATTTGCTATTGTTGTGCAAATAAACTTAATCACTGGCTGAATAAAAGTATTGCAAACTGGGAATTAAAAATTAAAGAGAACCTTACATATACATTTATAGAAATAATAGAAATTTGTCATTTTGGATCCTTGCTACATGGTGTAGCCAAATAGAGGGACTGTTCCAAATCACAGAGAACACATTTATTAATTATACTTGACTCTTGGTCATGACTACAGACACAAATCAAGGATCACTAGATTTCTTCTTGATTTTGAGAGATAGCCATTGCATAGGGCAGCTGGGTGGCACAGTGCATAGAGTGTCAGACCTGGAGTTAGGAAGACTCAACTCCCTGAGTTCAAATCTGGCCTCAGACATTTACTAACTGTGTGACCCTGGGCAAGTCACTTAACCCTGTCAGGTATATCTCAGTTGCTCATCTGTAAAATGAGCTGGAGAAGGAAATAGCAAACCATTTCAGTATTTTTGCCAAGAAGACCCCAAAATGAAGTCATGAAGAGTTGAACACAACTGAAATGACTGAATAACAACAAAAACAACAATTTTGCTAAGAATTATCAACAAGACCATAACTACATAGACAAAAATAGAAAAAAAATTAAGAAATTACATAGATAATTCGGGTCTTAAATTGTGCAATTAGGGTGAAAACAAACCCCGAAATATTCAGATTGGCTCTCCATAATGATCCAATATACTAGTTAGTTGTTTAGGGCAGTTTTTCTGTGTCTGTTAGACATGGCTAAAGTTTCATAGAAAGGCCCATAGACAGTATTAGTATCCTTTATTTGCCCATGGTAGTTCCTGCCACTGTGTCACTACATTTTGAACATTTTCCCACCTCCCTCCCCCAAATACTTTAGCCTCTTTCTTTTCTGAAAATACATGCCCAATTCTTTCACTGAGTAATTCCCTGTTTTAATTTTTCAATTACCCTTAGGGACCAATCAATCTGCCCTTCATCTCTAAATGGACTTTTCTTCTATCTCCTCTAATTTTTTTTGTTACCTAATATCTTCTTTTGCTCCACTCCAGCACAATTCCATCTGGATAATGATATTATGTTGAAAGCAGTTGATGAGAAAAGGGAAAAGAACCTATTTGAACAAAAATATTTATAGCAGCTCTTTTTGTGGTGGCAAAGAATTGGAAATTGAGGGGATGACATCAATTGAGGAAAGGCTGAACAAGTTGTAGTATATGAATGTCATGGAATATTATTGTGCTATAAGAAATGATGAGCAGGCAGCCTTCAGAAAATCTTGGAAAGACTTACATGAACTGATGCAAAATGGAGTAAGCAGAACCAGAAAAACATTGTACAAAGTAACAGCAACATTGTACGATAATTAACTATTAATGACTTAGCTATTCCCGGCAATACAATGATCCAAGACAATTCCAAAGGTCTAAGGAAAAATGCTATTCACCTCCAGAGAAAACTGATGGAGTCTGAACGTAGATTGAAGCATATATTTTCATTTTCTTTATTTTTTCAAGGTTTTTTTTCTTTTGGTCTATTTCTTCCTTTGCAACATGACTAATATGGAAATATGTCTTACACGACTGTACATATATAACTTATATCAAATTGCTTACTATATTGGGGGGAGGAAGAAAATTCAGAACTCAATATTTTTAAATGAATGTGAAACTTTGTCTTTACATGTAATTAGAGAAAATTAAATTATATATTATATATATACAAACATATACATACACACACTCTGTGTGTGTGTGTGTGTGTGTGTGTGTGTGTGTATACACACATATAGCAGCTGATGAAATATCCAGGAAAGCTGACTTGATTCCTTCTTTATTCCAGATTTATTTATCCTCATCCTGGGTTGTTTTCCTTACTTTATTGCCTGTGTAGATGCATAGATATTTTGGAAGGGCTTTCATTTGTTCAGGGCCAAGATGAATGGTCTGTGCTGGGGCACACAATTAATGCTGTTGGACAGTAACAATAAAGGAGGCATTTCTTGCCTAGTTCTTACAGGCAATGGAAAGATAATCGGATGCTGACTTCTCATTTAATCACTGGAAAAGAAAGACAGTTTGTATATCTAACAGCTATTTCTTCATGAAATATGGATTGTTCACTTTCTTTTGGTCTCTTAGTCATTATCAGCCTGCCTGCCATTGTCAGTGTTTATAAACCACTCACCATTGCCTGTTGAGTTGGGCATAC